TGAATCGGGCCGGAAACGTACCTTGTATACATTCATTTTCAGGGTGCGTTATGTTCGGGGGAAGACGGTAGTGCTGCCTGCTTTTACCCACAGGATTAGCACTGCAGGCGGTGTTGTAAAAAAAAACAAACAAAAAACAAACAAAAAACAAAACAAAAAAAAGTGAAGGGTCGCTGCACAATCAAATAGCAAACGGCCGGTGCGCAAGCGAATAGCAAACAGCCGACCCACAAAACAAATAGCAAAAGGCCGGTGCGAAATCAGATAGCAAACGGTCGGCATACTAGCGGATAGCAATAGGACAGTGCAGAAGGGAATAGCAAATGGCGAAACAAACAAGCAAATGGAAGACGGTGGACGTACAAGCGAATGGCAAAAGGCCAGTCAAGAAGAGAATAGCAAAGGGTCGCTACACAATCAAATAGCAAACGGTCGGTACGCAAGCGAATCGCAAACAGTCGGTGTACAAGCCGCTAGCACACGGTCAGCGCAGGCGGCAATAGCGAAACAGCTGACCCGCAAAACAAATAGCAAACGGTTGGTGCTGAAGTGAATAGCAAAAATAGCAAACAGTCAGTGCGGAAGTGAATAGCCGAAGGTCAGTGCAGAAGCCGATAGCAAACGGTCGGCAAACAACAAAAATCATACATAGCAAGTGGTTGCCTTGAAAGTCAAAACTCTATTACATCTCTCGGGACGAGGTTCATCCTAAACCACCAGTACTTCCTAAAGTTGTGCCCGTTAACAAGCCACAATTTTAGGAAACGTACGGACCACTACAGGAGCGCCCAAATTCATCCGAGTAGAAACGCTTCTACTCTATTTTTTTCCACGGCCGATAGCTGGGCCATGTACTGGTGGTTTAAATGAGTAAGGTACTGGATAAGGTCCTAACCCTGAGAGAATGGTGTTGGACAGACATCAAAGACGAAGAGTCAAGCAAAAATAGACCCCCTCCTTAAACTGTTTGCCGAAACAACACAGCCTACAACACAGTTCCCCTAAGAGGAAAACGAAAGAATTTAACCAACATATACAATCAACATGCAACCAAACACAAAAAAAAAAAAAAAAAAAAAAAAAAAAAAAAAAAAAAAAAAAAAAAAAAAAAAAAAAACAAGACGCATCCAATCACAACAGGCCTAGCTCAGTTGGACAGTTGGACTGAGTTGATACACCCAACTCATACCTGGGTTCATCCCATTTTATGTTGTTCACCCCCTCTTGGAGGCAATGAGATGTGAACAACAATAAATGCCTGGGGGTGGTCAGTTCAATGATCATATCTCACGATTGTTTCGCTTTGAAACAAAAATGGACCGCGCCATAGCGAAGCTGCGGCACAGGAGGGGTGCGAGTGGAGGGAGGGAGCGAAGGAGGGAGGGAGAGGAGGGGAGGAGGGTGGAGAGCAGAAGAAACAATGAGCATCTCGGGATAATGAAGAAATTTGGTTTATGCACATTAACGGACTGTAAAAGGGCCTTTACCCAATTCAGACCCTGTTTGGCAAATGTAGCATAGAGGGGTCACTCGCCAAGGCTCCCTACTCGTGAAAGCAGATCGAAGGACATTTTCTCTGGATAAAAAGTCACATCGTGACTAAGTAAAAGTCATTATCAAAGGTCACAGTTGTTCCCTGGACGAACAGTTGCAATATCCAGATATGAGAGTGACATCTGTTCGTCCAAGGGGGGGTGCAAGTCATGTCTGTTCATGCAAGAGATATGTCTGTACGTGCAGTATGTGTGTCTGTTCGTGCAGCATGTGTGTCTGTTCGTGCATTATGAGTGTCTGTTTGTGCAGAATATGTGTCTGTCCTAGCAGAAGTCAAAGGGCAGGTTCCCAGTTCTGTCTAAGTCTAATAGGGGGTCTAGATTCAGACACCCAGTCCGAAATCCAGGCCAGATGGCCGCAGCAGCAGCAGATCCTGAGGGGAAAATACTAGGACACACACCTATGCATGGGTCTGGGACTGAAGGAGGCCCAAAGTGCCAATGCAGACCAATGCAGACCTCGCCAGGGGAGGCCAGCAGTATAAAGCAATAGGCCAGCCTCCGTTGACATCAGATTACCACCAGCAGTATTGCGTGGAAGTGCTGCATGCACTTGTGCGCTGGCTGGCTGGGTTAGCGCTGGAGGAGGAAGCTGCGCTAGAGAAGAAGGAGAAGGCTGGGCGCTGGATAGCAAGTGGCAGCCATAGCAGCCCTTCGAGTTAGTATGGTTAGTGGATTAGGACTTAGTCTACAGTGAGTAGCATTCAGAGCAGATTCTCGAAGTAGGAGTGCGCATGCATGATGAGAGAAGAGGACTGAGACTGAGATCTTGAGGAAGGAGAGAGAGAAGTAAGAGACAAGCTGACGAATTGGCTATGGTGACTACTTACCTGTTCTGCACTTGACGAGTAGCCGAGAGGTGGCGCTGGCTCAGCCAGGCCCCATTGTGCTGATGTTCGAAGAGAGGGACATGCCGCGATTGTTGAGCGCTTGGATTCATGAACTCGAGATACTCTTTATGATGCGTTTGAGAGAATATAAGCTGCGCGACTTGGTTCTCATCTCATCCCCATTCTGCGTTGTGTGTGCTGAGTTATAACCTGTGTGAATGGTGACGTTGCATGCATTGTGATACACTCTGGCAAGACGTGGTCAGTCAGGACCCTTGCAACTGTATGTCCGAGTTCTGTCGAGGGAAGAGAACTCATCGTCTTTTCAATCGGCAAATGGCATTGCAAAGCAGGGGAGGCACAGAGAGAGAGAGAGAGAGAGAGAGAGAGAGAGAGAGAGAGAGAGAGAGAGAGAGAGAGAGAGAGAGAGAGGTTACATCGGGCTATGAAGCCCCGGATCAAATTTGACATTTTTTTTGTGGCAGACATTGATCGGACATCCAGCAGGGAGACTATTTCTGGACTTTGCCATCGTGATCTTGCTCTTCTCCCTCGTCTCCATCTTCGTCTCGCCTCCTTCCCGGGCTTCCCCATCTCCTCATCGGTGGTATCTCCCCATGTGCATGATCAAGGAGGGACCATTCGTCTGTGTGTGGTCCCCCCCCTCTCTCTCACATGTGTGGTGTGTGATGAGGTGTCCCGTCAGTATCTGACAGGGCGGGTCATATCTTTGAGTCTTCCGCTGCGCTACATTGTGCTATTTTCGTATGTATCGGCACGTACATGGCTCGTTGATGCTTTGCTTATGCTGCATTGTCCATTCGAGTCCTTTTCGTCACTTTGCGGATCCTTAGCTCCATATACATCGCTCAATCGAGCATGTAGCAGAGAGAGAGAGAGAGAGACAAAGAGAACGGGTGGAGCGGTGTCGCTCCACTGCTTAACGAATGCGCAAATTGAGAATGAATCTTCCTCTAGAACATGGAATTGAGAATGAATCTTCCTCTAGAACATGGAAAGATGCACCGCCATCATATACAACGTGGCTCCACTGCTCACCCAGCACAAAAATTAAGAATGAATCTTCCTCTAGAATACAGAAAGATACACCGCCTTCACAGCCGATCGCTCCACTGCCCAGATAAGATCCCGGGTCGGTTTTTTGTGAAAATTGAGAATGTACCTTCCACTAGAATATGGAAAGACACATTCACCTTGATAGTGCGTCACTCCGCTGCTCAGCAAATGTGCAAATTGAGAAAGACTCTCCCAGCAAATACACCGCTGTGTGGCGAGTAGCGTAGCCAGGGCCATATTCGAACACGGCGTCGCGAGCAAATCAGAAACCCGCGCGAGAAAAAAAAAGCAAAACACAGCGTGGCGATAAGAAAACAACGTGTGAAACGACAAAAGACGCGAAAAAAAAAAAAAAAAAAAAAAAAAGGGGCAGGCAGGCCCCAAGTGCATCTGGATTCACGCTGCTGCACTTCGAACGAAACGATGCCTGGGAGAAAACTGAAACTGGGTCGAGCCTCTGGGTCTGAGCTGCACCCACAAGTATGTACTTGTATTCAAACATGGGGTGCCGCGCGTTTTCTCTGTGGCATTTCCTTGGGCCCGGCCCCTCTCTCGCCTGTTTTCCCAATAGTGGCAGCCAGGCCTCACGGGAGCATTACAGTAGACCCGGCTTTCCCTTTATAAAGAGTAGAGAAAGAAAAAAAAAATCAACATCCAACCCCAAGAGTGGACACCACATTCTGACTACAAGTTTGCAACCCAAAAAAAAAAGAAGGAAAAAAGAAAAAAAAGAAAAGAAAAAAGAAAAGAAAAAAGAAAAAAAAAAGAATGCTGTGACTGCAAGGAGGAGGAGGAGGAGGAGGAGAAGAAGAAGAAGAAGAAGAACGCTGTGACGACGACAAGCAAAAACAGACAGGTGCACACGAACCAAAAACTGATCTGCGATAATTTTGTTGAGTAAAAGCA